AATCTCCTGTGGGGGTCTCTGTAGGCAGAGCTATGTCCAACCACTCTCCCAGCAAAGTTTGAGTCAGAGTGTACCCTTTTGTGTGCAAGCACACTTCCACTGTATTGGGAAGAAGTGTGCTTGGACACGAACGCTTATACTTTGAATCAAACTTTGCCGGGATATTCAGCGTGCAAAGACGTGAGCCTCCAGCACACACCTGGCCTTCACCAACATGGCTGCCCTCCTGACTCTGGATCACCCAAAGCTAGAAAACAATGTTGCAGGAAGAAGATAATGAACAGTGCCACAGACGATGCCCCTCGCCCCTCTGGAAAAGCATCCTCTCGAAACATTCCCTTTGACCTTTTCTGTGGAATGATAGAAGTGCTGCGAACCCTCCAGCCCACCAGGTGGGGCTGCAACGGAGAAGGCTCCGGTAGGCACAGTCGTGGAGCTCCAGGGGTCATTTTGTAGACAAAGAGGTGCAGGAGCTCATTAGCATAACTTATTATTGAGAGGGGGACAGCTGTGGAATTCATCCCCCTCCCAAACTCATCCATTCGCCTGTCTCTTTCTGAATTTATAGTCCAGCAGCACCCTGAAGACCAACAAAGTTTTATTCTGGGTACAAGCTTTCGTGTGCACGGACAAAGAAGGATCCGAAGAAGTGTGCGTGTGTAACTGCTACTTAATTCAGGGAGCAATATCAAATAAATACTTTTTTTTCTTTTTAATTAAAGAACGGAGAGAGGTCACGTCTAGGACAGTGCGGTCCCACCTAAGTTGTGACACTTGCTTTTTATGACACTAACAATAGCCAGACGTCAAAAGACATAGTCCTTGGAGAAAGCAAATACAACCAGAATCCACATGCAACCATTCAAGCCTGTTGTGTCTGAGCAGACCCTAACCCTAACCACCGGGCTTTTGGTTGAGGCAGCGGGCATAAACCCCCTTCTGGCCAGCCCCATCAGTGGCCTGGATCCCTGAAGGCCTTAATATTTGAATGCCATCTTAGCCGCCGAATCGGGCTCGGAGCTTCATCTACAGGCCACCATCTTGCTCTGACTGAATGCTTGATAACACCACTGAGCATTTTATTTTGATAATGGTTGTTTTTATGTGTTTCATTGTTTTGTATTGTTTTTGTTGTATATGACTTCTTTATTCTGTGTTTAATTGTATTCACCTTGGCATATGTGCCTCATCTGTTAGCCTCCCTGAGCCCGTTCTGCGGAGGGTGGGGTATAAATCCAAAAATAAATTAAAAAATAACTAAATATAGTGGCACGTGGTGCCCTATTGTGAGCCGCCCTGAGCCTGTTCGCGGGGAGGACGGGGTAGAAATATAATAATTAAAATAAATAAATAAAATAAAATAAACCACTTTGATACCTGGTTTCCACGAGGGTTGACATGGTTTTTACTAGAGTTGACATGGGACCTCAGAGTAATCTTATTTTATACTGTTATTCTTAATCTGGTTTTAATCCTACTGCATTTTATATTGTTGGAACCTGCCCTGAGCCCGCAGGGAGGGAGGGATATGAATCCAAACAAATACATAAATAAAGTGTGCTTGGCACAAAAGCTTTTGCTTCCAATCAAACTTTGTTGGCCTTCAAGGTTCCCCTGGGCTCAAGCTTCGTGCTTGACTCCGTCCTGCACGCGTCTCCTCCCAGAATCAAACGGGGCTGGCCTCCGAGGGGCCCACCCGACGCTCCCTCTAAACTGTGGAGTCTTGTGGGCAAAAATCCCACTTGGTGCGCTCCTGGCATTAGCGTTGTGAGCGAGCGATTGGGCTGCGGCATCGCTTAGTCGGCTCTGGAGCCCCATCCATCCTTCCTGAGCGGAGACAGAAACGTGTGAGCCGGGGGCTGAAAAACGGTGAGCTGGCTCACACTAGCTCCGCTTAGAGGGAACACTGGTGCGCCACGGCCAGTTGGGGGGAGAGGGAGGGCCCCCGGAGTGACTCGCTTCTCCCCCCGCCCCGTCTCTGTCCCCGCAGCCGCCCACTTCCTGGCCCAGGACAAGCACGAGTGCCGCTTCGCCGACGGGACTCGCGGGGAGGTCCGCTTCATGTACAGGTACATCTACGGGCGGGAGGAGATCGCGCGCTTCGACAGCCGCCGCGGAGAGTACGAGGCCCTCACCCCGCTGGGCGAGCCCGACGCCCGATACTGGAACAGCCAGAAGGAGCTCCTGGACTACATGCGGGCCGGGGTGGAGCGCTTCTGCCGCTACAACTACGGGGTCGAAGAGAGCGACGGCATCACCCTCACCAGGAAGGGTGAGCGCGGGCTGGGGGGCGTGGGTGTCTGAAGGGGAGCCAGGCGGGGGGGGGGGCTTTCCCCTCCCCATCCACAGCGGCGACGCGGCGGGGGGCGGCAGAGGTAGAAGCCGGACCCTCGTAGGACCCCAAACACCCCCCCCCTTTTCTGAAACAAAACGCGGCTCAGGGAGGGACGAAAGGAAGCGCGGCTTTGGGGGGGGGTGATTCCCAAGGGGGGGGGACCTTGGCGGCCAGAGGAGGGAGTGAATTGGGACGGGGACCAGGCGACAACCCTCCCACCCCCACTCCCGGCAATTTTCCCTCCCTCCGCGGTGGGTTCCCCCCCCCTCCGACATTTTGTTCCCTTCCGCGACTGCGCAGCCCCCAAGTCACCTGGTCTTCTGCTTTGCCTTTTCAAAGACCGCCGGTCCCTCCCTTTGTCCCGGAGATACAATTTGGCATCTACCCCCCCAGCCCTGGAACCAGGGCTCCCGCTAAGCTGAGTTCCTGTGAGCCAGCTCACAGTTCTTTAGCCTCCAGCTCACACACATTTTTGTCTCTGCTCAGGAAGGATGTGGCTCCAGAGCAAACTAATTTAGGCAGCAGTAGCCAAATCGCCCGCTCACAACTTGAATGCCAGGAGCTCACAAATTAGAAGTTTTGTTCACTAAACTCCACAGCTTAGAGGGAGCGTTGCCTGGAATCCCACTGAAGAATGAGGCGCCCTCTTGGGTTGGACCCCTTCCAAGGGCCCTGGAGAGGATGCCAAACTCAAACCAAACTGAAGATTTAATTTAAATGACAGGGGGAGGTCAGGGGGAATGAGGAGTTGTTAACTTTGAGGCAAAAATCCGGGGTTGTACAGATGGTGATTCTTTATATAGAGCTAATGAAGATTATTTCCTTTGTTATTGAATTCCTAGTATCAAGAGGGTTCCCCCCCACCTGTGTTTTCCAAACACTACAATGCTTCTCAATAGATTTCCCTGTTCCTCCTCCTAATTCCTTGAGTCTGGTACCCTTCCTTCGATACCTAACTCCCTTCCTTTTAATCCCAGTTTTCTCTCTAGCTCTTGAGGTGTCCCCCAAGCAGTTTCCCTTCACAAGGGGTCAGGAGACAAGATGATCTTGACAGTATGGGAAACTGGCGAAAACAAAGAAACTTTCGATCAGACCCGTGGCTACAGTGGGGGATTTCGGGGCCTGCCCCCCTGACTTCCTGTCATGGCCCTGCGACTTGCTTTTAGCCCAGTCCCCCAGCTCTCTGGCAAGATGCAGTGGCCGCCCCAAACTCCCCCTGCACTTCCAGGGCCGCCGGTCCTCCTTGCCTTCCCCCTTTCTCTGGGCCACTCCTCACCCCCACCTCCATGACTTGGCCTGACTCCATCCTGGCATGGATACCCGGGGGTGGCCTGGGGGCTTGGAGCTGCAGAGAGAGAGAGAGAAGCCAGGCCAGTGCTCTTTTTATCCTCCCTGGCCCGCTGTGGTCCAGGAAGTGGTGGACAGACTGAGTCCCCTCCCACTCTGGGTCCCATGGCCACCAGCCAACTCCTCCCTTCCCAAGCTGGGGGAAGCCGGTGCTTTCTCTCCCCACCCTCATCCCGGCAGCAACCTCCGGAGCATCTTTTCTGCACTGGGGGAAGGCAAACAGGCTGGCTGGCAGCTGGGGTGGGTGGAGGGGAGTGCCAGGGAGCAGGAAGAGGAGAAGAAGAGATTGGGTTTATACCCCACCCTTCACTACCCAAAGGGGTCTCAGAGCGGCCTACAAACTCCTTTCCCTTCTCCTCCCCACAACAGACATCCTGTGATGTAGGTGGGGCTGAGAGAGCTCTTTCGAGAGCTGCCCTTTCAAGGACAGCTCTGACAGAACTATGGCTTGCCCAAGGCCATCCAGCAGGTGCATGTGGAGGAGTGGGGAATCAAACCCGGTTCTCCCAGATCAGAGTCAGCGCACTTAACCACGACACCAAACTGGCACAAGATGCCCAAGCTCAAGGAAGGCCAAGCCGACAGCCAGGCAGAGGGCACCGAGAAGCCAGCAGTTAAATTATTTTTAATCAAATCAGCCAGTACCCCAGTGCCCCCAAGGAATTAAAATGCCCCCCGACTTAGAAATTCATGGCTACGGGCCTGCTTTCAATGGGGATGAATGTAAACTCTTGGCAGTAGCATGTGCAAAATGGATCTTGGGGTCTTAGTAGACCATCCACTGAACAGGAGTCAGCAGTGTGATGCAGTAGCTAAAAAGGCAAATATGATTTTGGGCTGCATCAACAGAAGTACAGTGTCCAGATCACGCGAAGTGATGGTATCACTTTTCTCTGGGTAGACCCCCTCACCTAGAGCATTGTGATCAGTTTTGGGCACCACAATTTAAGAAGGCTATAAGGCTAATGTTGTACATTCATCTTTTATAATTGAGCTTAAGACCTTTGGTCATAGAAGCCAATAAATATAAATACGTAAAAAAATAAGTAAGAAGGCTATAAACAAGCTGGAAAGTGTCCAGAGGGGGGCAACGAAGATGATGAGGGGTCTGGAGACCAAGTCCTCTGAGGAAAGGCGGAAGGAGATGGGTAGGTTTAGCCTGGAAAGGAGATGACTGAGCAGTGATACGATCACCATCTTCAAGTACTTGAAGGACTGTCATAATAGGAGATGGTACAAAGTTGTTTTCTGTCGCCCCAGAAGGTCGGGCAAGAACCAACGGGTTGAAATTAAATCAGAAGAGTTTTCGGCTAAACATCAGGAGGAACTTCCTGACAGAGCGGTTCCTCAGTGGAACAGGCTTCCTCGGGAGGTGGTGGGCTCTCCTCCTGTGGAGGTTTTCAAACAGAGGCTAGATGGCCACCTGACAGCAGTGCTGATTCTGGGAACTCGGGCAGATCATGAGAGGGAGGGCAGGAAGGGTTGCCTCAGTGCTTGGTTCTCGTGGCCCTTTCTTATGCGCCCAGGGAAAGGTTGATCGCCACTGTGGGGTCAGGAAGCAATTTTTCTCCAGGCCAGTTTGGCTGGAGATCCTGGAGGTTTTTTGCTATCTTCTGGGCAGAACAGGGGTGACTGGGTGTTTGTGTGTGGGGGGGTATTTGTGAATTTCCTGCATTGTGCAGGGGGTTGGACTAGATGACCCTGGAGATCCCTTCCAACTCTGCGACTCTATCGTTCATTGATCTCTATTTCCCAGAGATAACTCTCCCTGTTTAACTGGGCAGAGATTCTTATTTCCCTAGAAGAGGTCTCTCCTTCCCTTTGGCCTGAATGGGAGTCTCATCTCACTGCCCGACAACCCAGCCAGGTCTCGCTCCCAGTTCTCATGTCTGTGTGAAGCAAACCGCTTCCAGCACAGGCTCAGACTCTGTTCTTCCACTCAGTTCTTCCTCAGAGCAGATAGTCAACAGTGAAGGTACAGGATCGTCTCTCTTCACGCAAACCAGGGGAGGAATTTTATTAGCTGGGTGCTGAGAGAGAGGGAAATAGAATATTTGGAGAAATCCCTAGCTGGAGCCGCCCAATCAGAATGCTTGGAGTCGCCTGACACTCAAAGCTCTCCATTCTTGTGGACGTTTAACTCTTCACCTCTTGAGTCCTGTTTTAAGGGCTGCCCATCACAGATGTCCACAGGAATAAACAGCTTTAAAGGGGGATTAGATAGATTCATGGAGGATAAGTCTATCAATGGCTAATAGCCATGGTGACTGAGGGGAACCTCTACATTCAGAGGCACTCAATCTCTGCATCCCAGAGCCAGGAGGCAACATCAGGGGAAGGCCTCAGCTTCTGTGCCCAGCAGTTGGCCATCAGGAAGAACTGGCTGACCACTCTGTGAGACAGGAGGCTGGACTACATGGACCCTCGGTGGCCTGATCCAGCAGAGCTCTTCTTGTGTCCTTATCAAGGGAAGGCCTCAACCTCTGTGTGTGCCCTGTCTTTGGCCATCTGGAGGAACCGGCTGCCCACCGGGTGAGACAAGATGCTGGACTAGAAGGACCCTCACTGGTCTGATCCAGCTTGGCTCTTCTGATGTAGGCCTCAGCCTGTATGCCCAGTTGTTGGTCATCCAGAAGAACTGGTTTACCGTCAGGGCTATTTTTGGGCAGGAACACACAGGAACGGAGTTCCGGCTGGCTTCAGAGTTGGCCACGCCCACTACAGCAAAAACCTCTGCGCATGCATGGCTACAGAGGGAAGGCCAGGAGAGTGACCCCCCGGTAACTCCGAGGTGGGCAGGCCGAGGGGGGGGAGCTGGAAGGCTGGAAGGATCGGGGAGGCATTTAAATGCCTCCCTGTCCCTTCCCCGGCCTGTCGAAGGGAAGCCAAGGGAAGGCATGGGGGTGGCTTAATATGCTAATGAGCTATGCAGTGTGGTATAATATGCTAATGAGTTTCTGCTGTTGGGTGTGGCCTGTTATGCTAATGAGTGCCTGCCCTGTTTACCGCTGTGTGAGGTAGGATGCTGGACTAGGTGGACCCTCGCTGGTCTGATCCGGCAGGGCTCTTCTAATGCTCTTTTGAAGAGCTTGGTTGAAGAGCTTGGTGTCAGTTGGTTTGTAATGCTGGCTTGGAAGGCAGAGATCTTGAAGGGCATTGAGCTCCCCATGTTCAGCGCAGTTCCACTGACCCTTGGAGACTCAGTTACGTGCCTGGGTCCAGCACTACTGCTGGAGAAACAAACTAATGTAGCTGGCACAAACGCCTTCTTCCAGATGGCCCCTTCCCTGGATATGGCTGATCTGGCTACCTGGGTCCATGCCACAGTAACATTGAGACTAGACTACTGTAATGCACTTTCTATGGGTCTCCCCTCAAAGGGAATTCGGAGACTCCAGTTGGTACAGAAGGCCGCAGCTTGGTTATTACTGGGAGCTTGGTGGAGCAGGCATATGACTCCCATTCTGCCAACTGCTGGGCTCAGTTCAAGGGTCTGGCTGTCACATTGAAAGCCCTTCATAGCCCCGGTCCCTCATACCTTCCTATTTGGAGTAAGTAATATCTTCTCTTTAAAAGGATTTCAATCATGCCAAAAGATAAGTATTTCTTACCAGCATTTCCAGTGGTTCCTCAAATTCCCAATTTTTCCATCGGGAAAAAAACCCATCGAAACCGAAAATGACCTTGGATAATTGTTCTTTTTTTCATGCATTTTCTGTGCCTTCTGTGGCAGAGTCAGGGTCTGCAATGAGCCCCAGACCTCTGTTAAACCTCTACGTGACTTTAATTTCTACAGCAAAGTAGAGTTGAATGAATCTTTGGTTCTGTTTCCCAGGAGGCTTCGGGACTCTGCTTGTGCTGTGGACTTCTGGTGGTACCGATAACTCTGTACATGATTTCTGCCTTAGGGGATGTTTATACATTCCAGAAGTTAGTGGTGTCGCTTTCAGAATTAAAATGGATCTGGTATCTGAAACCAGCTTTCTTGACTTCCTGACCCCAGGAGCTTTCTGTGAGCTTCCTGACCCCAGAGATAGAGAAAAGGGGGAGGAATTTGGATCGGTACGTTGGTTCAAATCTAGCCAGTTCAAGTTTGGCCTGTGTCACATTCATGATAGTCATACGTGATAGGTACATCAGCAGCCATAGGTCCAAGAAAGATATATCTATGTGGTAGCAGTAACTGCAAGTTCCCCCCTATCAAAAGGGCCTTCCGGGGAGTTCAGATTGACCCTGCAGGTCAGTTCTGGGAGGCTTCGGGCCCACTGTTATCAGGGAGAGAATGCCGGCCTGGATGGATGGGGGTCTGATCCTGCAAAGCAGCTCCTAGTGTTTGGGAAGAAGGAGGGAGAGAGAGATGCCTTTGTGTGTTTGTGTCTACAGGTTTTATGCAGGGACTGGAAGGTGGATGAGTGGTTTATCGGCTGTGCTGGTGGGTGAGAGTACCCGGGGGGTTGTGTCTTTCGAAATATAGCTGCTGCTGCAGACATGATAGCCTCTCCGTCTTCTTGATCTGTCTGTGCTTCTCTGGTTCTCCTGTGTCTCTGAAGTTCTCTCCCTTTTTCTCTCCCTCCTTCAGATCAGCCCACAGTGAAGATCACCCACACCAAGGCAGGGCCCCTGGCCCACCACAGCCTCCTGCTCTGCACCGCGACAGGATATTACCCCTCGGGGGTTCGTTTCAAGTGGCTGAAGAACGGGCAGGAGCAGACGGAAGGGGTGGGGTACGCGGATGAGGTCCAGAATGGAGACTGGACCTTCCTGAACCAGGCGATGCTGGAGACGGTGCCCCAGCGGGGAGACCTCTACGCCTGCCAGGTGGAGCACAGCAGCCTGAAGGAGCCCATCATCGTGCAGTGGGGTAAGAGACCGGCGGTCTTCCCCGTTTCCCAGGAACCCACAATCCTGCACAGTGGGTGGGAGTCCCAAGGTCCTCTGTCAGCTCTGTGGAGCTCGGAGTTTGAGTGGGCCCAGCAGAGGCTTCCCAGGGAGGATACCGGCTGGAAGGCCTGGTGTCAGATCAAGTGCTGATCCTGCAAAGACATTCTTTTGTGTTTGGCAAGGAAGATGGAACGGAAACAGGAGGGGGAGAGAAGGGCGAAGAAAGGTTTCCGAGGTGTCCCTCAGTCCCCATGGCACATCCTTGCTGTTCACCAGGGATCCCTGAACTGGATTTGTACATCCTCACATTCAATGTTCCCTCTAAGCTGTGGAGTCTTGTGAGCAAAAATTCTATTTTGTGAGCGAAAGTTGGGAGCGAGCGATTTCCTCTGGAGCCATCCCCTTCCTGAGCCAAGACAAAAAAATCTGTGAGCTGGAGGCTAAAAAACTGTGAGCTAGCTCACACTAACTCAGCTTAGAGGGAATTACCCTGAAGACAGAAGAAAGTCTGCATCCGGTGGCACCTTTGAGATCAACAAAGTTTTATTCACGGTATAAACATTTGTTTGCAGGTTCACTTCATCAAGTACTTGCACACGAAAGCTTATACAGTGTGTGGCAAAATGGGGGGCCACCCTCAGCCCTGGGAGACTGAATAGCCGCTCTGTGGCTCACAAGCCCCTGTTTTTGCCTTCCCACCCTGCCTGGTGGGACTATTTCCTTCCTCTGTCGCTGCCACCACTCACTGGCTTGACACCGTCTTCCTAGAGGGACAGTGAGACCCCTCTGGCTGATTCCGCAACCCGGGAAAGTGGATACGTGAATCTTTGGCGCCCCCTGGAGAGTTGGCTACACTCCCTATTTGGGCTCGTTTGGGCCCCCTGGCCTCCCTTTAGCCTCTGGTAACGTGCTGAGCAGGGAGGACTATGTGGTCAAGGCACTACCAGGCTTTCTAACTCAAAAAGATTTATTTAAACTATGTACAAGGTTAGGCACAGAAAATAAACAAGCACAGCAACACAACCTGGGCAGAATATAAATACTATCTAAACGCAGTTCCTCTGTCCCCGACACACACCCTCCCTACCTCTGGAGTTGGTGGCTGCAGGCCAGGATTTGCTTTCCTCCTAAGTTGCCACGAGACCCTCTGGGTGAGCGGTGACTAAAAAAATCTAAGGAACAAACAAGCTTGGGGACCTCACAGCCCAGCCTGGGCTCTGCGAACTGTGAGATCGGAAGGAGGGGTGTGCCGTGCCTTTGCTTACCTCATGGACCAACCCTCCCCTTGTGAGATCTAGAATGTGAGAGGCCCAGCCTGACCCTGAGCCATCTTTTCACACAAATTTCCTTCTCTTTCCTCAGAGCCGCGGTCGTCGAACTCTGCCCAGAGCAAAGTGTGGACGGGGGCTGTGGGGGCCGTGCTCGGGGTGGTCTTTGGGGCTGCCGGAGTCTCCTTCTACCTGAAGACCAGGCGAGGTAAGGAGGTGGGAACGGGTGGCTGGTGTGAGAGAGGGACAACAGCAGGGAAGGCGCTGAAGGGGACTGGGGGGCCCCCCTGCAACCTCCCTCCCACCACCCAGGACTTTCCCAGCTTCCGTTCCCCACTGGGGTCCATCTGAACTGGACCCCCCCCATTAAGAACGAGAGAACTGGTCTTAAGGGTGTAGTGGTGGTCAGTAGTCTCTTTCTTCCCCGGGCTGTTCTGGTTTGGGTTCTGCGTACTTAGCTGGTCTCCTGCTATTACATCAAGGCCTCCCCCCGCCCCCCATCCCAGTAAAAACAAGAAGTGCGCTTAATGGGTACAAAAGAGTGAACTGGGGTGGAATATATTGCAGAATGTGGGACTCTTGTCGGCTTTTTAAAGAATTATCGTAGAGGAGCCACAGACTGAGAACGGGGTCCTTCTGCACGTCTCCAGGGGTCATCTTGAGGACTAGACGCCTGGTCTGGTTTGGCATTCAAGCTGGACTTCTGGGGGAGGCTCTTCGTGCCGATCTTATTTGTCCTGAGTTCTTATAAAGAGGAGACTAGATAGATTCCTGGAGGAGAAGTCTATCAGTGGCTACTAGCCCTGGTGACTGAGGAGAACCTCCACATTCAGAGGCAGTCGGCCTCTGAATCTCAGAGCCAGGAGGCAACATCAGGGGGAGGCCTCAGCCTCTCTGCCCTGATGGTTGGACCTCCAGAGGAACTGGCTGGCCACTGTTGTGTGAGTCAGGAGGCTGGACTAGAGGGACCCTCACTGGTCTGACCCAGCAGGGCTCTTCTGAAATTATTGTGGGGTGGGGGAGTTCATAGTACCGGAAAACCATAGAAATCAGCACCCCTGAAAGGGCTTTGACAGTCTCTCTCTCTCTCTTTCTTCATAGCGGCCCCCACGGTACCTGCTGCAGGTAAGGCCGCCCGTACATCTCCTCCAATAACTTTGTTTTTAATCCTGCCTGGCATGAAGGAACTGGCCAAAGTTTGAAACTGGTCATGCAAAGACAGTGCGGCTTTGCATTTCTTGTGGGCATTCCCTGAACACTTCACGTACAGTATCTCTGTCTTCCTTCCAGCAGCCCTGTGAGGTAGGCCGGTCATGTGATCCCCCTGCCTCGTAGATGGAAGGCGTGGGTGAGAGACTGCCTCGAGGCTGCTTTGGGAGCTCAGGACAGGGTTAAGGTTCAAACCAGCAGCTTCCTCTTTCGGCCATTTTAAGGTCAGGTTTAGGAGAGCTTGTGGACGGAGTTGTCCGTCTCAGGGTAGAAATCCATCTCCTCCACGTGGTCCTTCACCTCCTGCCCCCTCTTCAGCTAGGTGATGCTCACGGGAGGGGGGGGAGAATTCCTTTGCTAGGCAGATGAGCGCATTGGGCTGCCACAGCCCCACCTTCTCCGGGTACACCGTCACCTGTGAGGGGACTCTAAGGGAAGGGAAAGATACACACAGAAGAGTTTCTGTTGCAGGTGTGGGTCCCAGACGGAGGCCCCCTTCCCACCTCCTGAAGGGTCCCAGAGTGAAATCTGCACTCCCTAAAGGGGCAAACCGCCCCACTCCTTAGCTGAACTTTGGGGCCCATGCCCATGTGCAGAGGGGTGCCTGTCTGGATCTGCCTGGCACAGGATCCGCTCTGGAGACCCACCTTCCCCAGAGCAAGAGGGACAACAGGCAGCCTCCACTGGGGAGGATCTCTCAGGTGGAGGGGGAGGGGGAAGGAGACTGGGGGGTTGGGGTCCCCGTGTTGCGATCAGTTGGGACCAGTGTTCCCTCTAAGCTGAGTTAGTGTGAGCTAGCTCACAGTTTTTTAGCCTCCGGCTCACGCATTTTTGTCTCTGCTCAGGAAGGGATGGCTCCAGAGCAAACTGATTTATGCAGCAGCCAAATTGCTCACTCACAACTTTAATGGTAGTCACTCACAAAGTAGAATTTCTGCTCACAAGACTCCACAACTTAGAGGGAACATTGGTTGGGACACTGGGTAGAAACGAGGGGGGGAGAGAGAGATACCATCGTTTGGCAGTAGGCAGAGGGGGAACCCTCCCGTAACTATTTGAGCCGTCAGTTGAGCAGACTGATGAAATCCAAAGTGGCGTAGGGGTTAAAGTGTCAGACTGGGAGTGAGGAGACCCAGGTTCGAATCCCTGCTCCATCCTGGAAGCTCCCTGGGTGACCTCGGGCCGGCCACACACTCTGAGCCTGGCCTACCTCACAGGGTTGTTATGTGGATAAAATGGAGGGTGAGAGAAGGGAGCAGAAAGGTGCTTTGGGTCCGCATTGGGGAGAAACGGGAGGGGATGTAAAAATCTCTCCCAGGGAGCAGTGGGGGCCTTTCCCCAGCCCAGTAGAAGGAGGGCTTGTCATAACATTCCCCATGTACTCCGCTGAGTCCCCCGCCTTCACCACCAGGGAACGGGAGCTGTTGGAACTCTGGCTGCATTCAAAGATGGTTGAAGCTGAGTAAATCTCATTCAGTGTGGCATTGGCTTTCCCTGGGCCAGTCCCATCCGAGTCCGGGAGCCCCCGAGAGACCAAGAAGATTTTCACGGTCGAAGCTTTCTTCTTTTCTGTGCCAGCAGACGGTGCTTTAATTGAAATGTGAAGGAAATCGTTTCGTAAAATGGAGGAGGCCCATAACCTTTCTGGCCTGGTGGGTGAGAATCCCGCCAGACTGCCCAGCTGAGCCTTTCGTTCTGACCTTCTCCAGCCTCTAACCGTCTTTCCCCCTCTTTTCTGACAGGGCTCATCAGTTAGTCCCAACGGCTCCAGACCTCAGATCTGAGAAATGATTTTCTTTAGCAAACGAGATCTTCGCGCCGTTCTACTGATTCCGCCCCCCTCCCCAAAGTTAATTCGTGTCCAGGCAGCATTTTGACGGACTGTCGCTAAAGCTGCTCTTGAGTACTGCTGGGATTGCTGGAAAGGTCACGATTTGGGAAGATGTCTGCAGGAACCATTCCCAGTTTGCATTTTGTCTAATTGAGAAACTGTAATTCACAGAGAGTTGTCTACGTGAGTCTCAGCTGAGCCCAATGAGCCAAGGTCTGTGGAAGCCTCTTGGTTTAGAGTTTATCGCACCCTTCCTCTGTGGGGCTCCGAGCAGATTACAGGGTCATTATCTCTGTTTCCCCCCTACACAACAACCCTGTATGGTAGGGCTGACCTGACCCAGAGGTCCCAGGCTGGCCTGATCTCGTCAGACCTTGGAAGATAAGCAGGGTCAGCCTTGGCTTGTGTTTGGATGGGGGCCCCCCCCCCCAGGAAGTCAGTCCAGGGTCGCTACGCAAAGCCAGGCAATGGCAAACCACCTCTGAATGCCTCCTGCCTTGAAAACCCTTCTGGAGTCTCCATACGTCAGCTGCAGCCTTACACATTAGTCACCAATTTTGACGTATTTCTTTGTTTCACTGTCCATCCGTCCCCCCCCCCCCGGAATTAAAATGGTGACCATATAAAGCTTCCTATTCCTCTTTGGTTCTCACGTCTGTTAAAACACTTTCATTATGTGTCTGCTGATTTGTTGTTCACCCCTCTGTTGATATATATGGACTGATAACCTCCACTTCAATGTGTCTGAGGAAGTGTGCGAGCATACGAAAAGCTATTACCTTGAATAAAACTTTTGTTGGTCTTAAAGTGGCCTCTGGACTCAAACTCTGTTCTACTCTACTGGATCCCCTCTCTGAAAGGGGGGAAATGGTGGCAACTGGGGGGGAGGGGGGGCTTCAACCTTGCAAGGGGCTGGCAGTTTCTGGTCAGACAGCTGCGAGGCATTTTTTGACCCTGTAACTGCCACGGTCCTCCTGAAGTTGGCGGCCAGTTTTGAATCGATTAGATTTGTATTCATAAGAACACAAGAGAAGCCATGTTGGTTTAGGCCAATGACCCTTCCAGTCCAATACTCTGTGTGACACTGTGTCCAAAACCCAGGTGCCACCCCCAGAAGACACAGAGAGTGCCTTTTTTTAAAAAAGGTGCCGGAAACGGGAAATGAAGTTTTCAATCTGTATACTGGAAATGGATGAACTTTTAAACATTTTTAAAAGAATTTTGTTGAAGAGATTCTGGAATCCCATTCCAGAGCGTTCCCCCCAGGAACATCAGGAGAGGGGGTCAGACCAAGGCTCCCTCTAAGCTGTGGAGTCTTGTGAGCAAAAATTCTGCTTTGTGAGCTACTGGCATGAAAGTCGTGAGCGAGCGTTTGGGCTGCTGCATCAATCAGTTTGCTCTGGAGCCACATCTTTCTTGAGCTAAGACAAAAAATCTGTGAGCTGGAGGCTAAAAAACTGTGAGCCAGTTCACACGAACTCAGCTTAGAGGGAACACTGGGCCGGACCAGGGAGGGTCCGTCTGGTCCAGCGTCCCCTCAATGGCCAGCCAGTTCTTCCGGAGGGCCAAAAAGGCAGGGCAACGGAGACCGAGGCCTCCCCTCCCCTGAGGTTGCCTCCTGGCTCTGGGATTCAGAGGTTGGCTGCCCCTGAAGGTGGAGGTTCCCCTCGAGTCACCAGGGCTAGGAGCCACCGAGAGACTGATCCACCATAAACCTCTCTCACCCCCTTTTTAAAGCTGTTGATGCCCGTGGCTGTCTCTATATCCTCTGGCAGCGAATCCCACCTTGGAACCACTCTCTGCATAAAGAAGTCCTTCTGCTCCCTTGAGGCCTGGGGGCTGGGCAGGAGAGGGGGGGGACAGAAGGGGCAGGATCGCCCCCTTTGCCCCGGGCAGTGGGGGCAGGAGAAAGAGGAGGCTGCCTGTGGGAAGGGGGGGCAGGAGCCCCATTGCCTCCCTGAGATCTTCCTTGGGGTTGGACGGCCGGCATTCGGCCAGCCTCTGCTCCCTGGCCTACTTCCCCACTTGGCTTCTTTTGGGTGCAAAGTACACGAATGGAGCCAAACCAAGTGACAGACGGGAGCGCCCCTCTCTGGCCCTGCTTTCCCACCCCTTATGGGAGGCAGTCTCCAAGGGCAGGCCCAGATCGCGGCCTCCCTGGCCTGGCCGCCTCCATTTGGCCCCGGGTGCTCTGCAACCAGAGAGAGGCCCGCCCCTCGCAGGAAAAGCCAAGAGAGGCCCAGCTGGGCCTGAAATGGGACTTTGTTCCTGTTATGTCTTCACTGTATTAATTCTCATGTAAAGCTTAAGACCTAGACAAGGATTGTAAACTGGAACAATCCTATTGGCTTATGTATGTATAATTGTGTCCAATCAGAAAGCAGGAGTGTAATGTATCAGGACCCAACCACGTCGTTAGCTTGGGCAGCACGCGGTCCAGCACAAACGTCAACAATGGACGATACGGATCCTAGCCGCACCAATCAGAGGGCTAGGCTCTGGGCTGAGAGCCTGTGGGACTCTCAGCCACTAGTTTGGGCCTATTGGGAAGTGGGGGTGTGTGTTTTGGGTGGTGGATTCACGGGGGATATAAGCCGGCTGGGCTAAAGTTGTCTTGTTCTACATGAAATAAAGTACGCTAAGCTGAAATCACTCCTTCTGACTGCTTGCCAACCTCCAGGTGGGGCCTGGAGACACCCCCCACCCCCATTACAGCTGATATCCAGGCGACCCAGATCAGCTCCCCTGGAGGAGAAAAGGCCGCTGTGAAGGGTACCCCAGTCTCTCCAACAGGGCCGAGCAACCGGGCTGCCCACTTAGAGGAGGCAGAGGAGATGGGGGGGGCACTTTGGGGGCAACTGGCCAGGGAGAAAGGAGAGGGGGGAGTCTGGGACGGAGCTCTCTTATCTCCCCCCCCCCCGGTCCTCCCGGCCTTCTCTTTGTACCGCCGGCCAGAAAACTCAATCTCCCGCAAGAGGAGCCACGGCTGATCCTTCTACCCGGAGACGGATGACGCTCCGCCAGGCGGAATTCTCATTGGTCGTCCTTGGGGCCCGGCCCGGCCCACGCCGCAGAACTTCAGAGGCAAAACTCTCACCCCCCCCCAGCCCAACGCAGTGAACAAAGTTTCCCCCCGGGGGGCTGGGTGGGGGTCTTCCGTGGTGGGGCAGCCATGGGGTCTGGCCTGATCCTGCCCGGGACTCTGGTGCTGATGGTGGCGCTTCTGGGTCCCTGCACGGTCCACGGAAGGGGGGGACGGCTCGAGCCTCCACCTGGTAAGCGGAGCTCCTGGAAAGGTGAAAGATTGGGAGGGGCGAGGGGGGCCCTTGGAGGCGCATTTCCGTTATTATAATTTTGATGTACTTTATTTGTACTCTGCGTCTCTCCCCGGTGGGGGGTCCCCACACGCAGCTGGCAGCCTTCCCCTCTCTCCTCTCTTCCATCTTCACAACAGCCCTGTGAGGTCGGCCGGGCCAAGGTGAACCGAAAGCGGCTGACAGTCTCCCCCCCCCCAGCAGGGTTGGCCCCCAAGAGCGGCGGGTTCTGTGCCCCGCTCGCTGCTCTCCCACCTACTCAAACCCTGCAGAGGAAACCAGGAAAGATCGTCCCCTCGGGGCTGGCTGGAGGGGGTCAGAGGCGAGTTTCCCGTTTGTCTTGCCCCCGCCCCCCGAGTCCTTCTTAAGGTGAAAATTCCTTGAGCGGTGAGGGAGGGGGAGTCCCGGAGGATCTCTCCCTGTCCCTCTCCAGGCTGGGCGAGGCGGATGCCAAAATGGAAAACAACCGACGAAACCAGACCAATTAAAAGGTCCCTCTGGATAAGGGGCAGAGTGGGGGGGGGCACCTTCAGCTCCACCAGCCTGTCTCAAGCCTCGATGCCCGGCACCTGCCCAACCTGCCTGTCTCAAGCCTCGATGCCCGGCACCTGCCCAACCTGTCTGCTGGGGGCTCTTGTGCCCGGGTGCCCTCTGGCTCTGGGTGCCACCTGCGCAGGTTCAGCCTGAAGGACCCCAGACCCACCCTCCTTCCTGGCGCACCCCTGGAAGCGCCCCTCCCATTTCTGTATTTTGTATATCTGTTTATTTGTCCTCCGCCTTCCTTGCTAAGACTCCAGGTGGGCCACCCACGTTTTAATTGATGCAATAGAAGAAGAAGAGAAGAGACTGGATTTATACCCCGCCCTTCAGTACCCAAAGGAGTCTCAGAGCGGCTTACAAACTCCTTTCCCTTCCCCCTCCCCACAACAGACACCCTGCGAGCAATGTTCCCTCTAAGCTGTGCAGTCTTGAGAGCAGAAATTCGACAATTGCTTTGCTCTGGAGCCCTCCTTCCTGAGCTAAGACAAAATTGGGTGAGTTGGAGGCTAAAGAACTGTGAGCTAGCTCACACTCACTCAGCTTAGAGGGAACACTGCCGGCTGCGAGGTCGGTGGGGCTGAGAGAGCTCTCTCTCGAGAACTGCCCTTGAGAGAACAGCTCTGAAAGAACTTGGAGCTGACCCAAGGTCACAAGAGCAGCTGCTAAACCTTTGTCCCAGTTGCGGCCGGAATGGGAAAAGGTCACTGAGTGGGGCACCTCTAAGGCCAGCAAAGTTTGATTCAGAGTGTACGCTTTCGTGTGCAAGCACACTTCCACTGGATCGGGAAGAAGTGTGCTTGGACACGAACGCTTATACTTTGAATAAAACTTTGCTGGACTTCAAGGTGCCCCCCTGGATTCAAACTCTGGTCCACAGCTTCAGACCAACATGGTCCACCCAAAGCTAGGAAACAATGTTGCAGGAAGAAGATAATGAACAGTGCCATAGATGACGCCCCTCGCCCCCTCTGGAAAAGCATCCTCTTGAACCATTCCGTTTGACCTTTTCAGTGGAATGATAGAAGTGCTGGGAGCCCTCCAGCCCACCTGGTGGGGCCGCAACGGAGAAGGCTCCGCTAGGGGCAGTCGTGGAGCTTACCAGGGGTCATTTTGTAGACAAAGAGGTGCAGGAGCTCATTAGCATAACTTATTATTGAGAGTGGGGCAGCCGCGGAATTCATCCCCCTCCCAAGCCCAAAACTCATCCATTCGCCTGTCTCTTTCTGAAATTATAGTCCAGCAGCACCTTTAAGACCAACAAAGTTTTATTCTGGGTACAAGCTTTCATGTGCACGGACGAAGAAGGATCCGAATGGTTTATTTTACATTTTCATAAAACTAGAAACACACACACATCCATTTATGTTACGTTTGTTCACTTATGGAGTCATTTGATTATACATCTACATTAATCCTCTTGTACAGACGTTCCCATCTTTCCAAGAACACTCTTTCCTTCCGACCTTGAAGAATTAAGGATAATTTATCCATCTCAGCTATCTCTAATAATCTGTGTATTAAATCCTCTTTATTTGGTATATATTCTTGCTTCCAATGTCTGGCTAGTATTATCCTTGCAGATGTTAATATATAAATTACCAGGTGTTTATCCTTCCATCTTATACTCTCTGGCAACATATTCAGCAGCATCATTTCCGGCGTTAGATCTATTTCAATCTCAGTTATTTCTACGATTATCTTCTGCACCATTTTCCAATAGCCACAAATCTTTACACAATCCCACCACATATGGAAGAACGTGCCCACCTTGCACTTACATTTCCAACAGTTCTTACTCAAAGCTGCATCACATTTGGCTATTCTATCCGGTGACCAGTGCAATTTATGATATAACTTATATATATTTTCCTTATAGTTGACACTTCTCATAAATTTAATTGAGTTCCAGGTTTTCTTCCAGTTTTCCATACTTATATCATGACCTACATCTTTTCCCCATGCACTACGTGTCTTATTGGTTATTTCTTCTCTTGCTCTCTCTTCTAACAGAAATTTGTTTATCTTCTGTATCATTTTATCGCTGCTCGATGCCCATATTTTATCCAGCTGCGATTTACCATCCTCAAACCCTCTTTTCTCATCTTTAGCATATCTCGACTGTAGTTGTGATGTTTCCCACCATGACAATTCAATCCTATAAAGTGTTGATAACACCTCTCTTGACTTTATCTTATTATTTCCATCTAACAACGTATCATAACTTTCTCTATCCGATGATTTAACTATGGATGGCTTAATAAACGCTTCTAACGGTGATACCAATCTAGGTGTTTTTGTGTAGTGCTTTTCTCTAATATCTTTCCATACCCTTATTAGGGCCCCTCTCATTATATGATGTTTAAAATTGTAGTGCACTTTATCTTTTCCGTACCACAGATATGCATGCCATCCCATTTTTAAATCATGCCCTTCCAAAGTCAAATTCCTGATATTATTAAAGCAGATCCAATCTTTTATCCAACTCAACACCACTGCCTGATAGTATACTTTCCAGTCTGGAAGACCAAACCCCCCTCTCTCCTTTCTGTCTTGTAGAGTTTTCATCCTAATTCTGGGCCTTTTTGGATACCAAATAAAATCTTTAATAGTCTTGTCTAATTCTGTAAAAAACTGTGAGTTTTTTAACACTGGTATATTTTGCATGAGAAAAAGAACTTTAGGCAAGATGTTCATTTTAATTGTCGATATTCTACCTAGTAAGGATAGTTGTATATTTTTCCACTGATTCAAATCTTTTTTAATTTCCTCCAATAATTTATCATAATTATCTTTAATTAGTTTAATATTTTTACCGGAGATTATTATTCCTAAATACTTAAATTTTTGCACTATTTCCATCTCTGTTAATTTTTGTAAATCCATTATCATGTTAGTTGTACAGTTTTTTGTCATTATTTTTGTCTTTTTACGATTGATCTTTAACCCTCTACCTCTCCGAAGTTATTAATTACTGTTAGTAGCCATTGGGTCCTCTATTATAAAGACAACATCATCTGCATAGGCTAAAAGCTTGAATTCCTCCCCTCTTATTTTTAATCCTCTAATTTGTGGATCATTCCTTATTAAATCATTTAATGTTTCCAGGGCAAAGATAAATAGTAAAGGGGATAACAGACAGCCTTGCCTCGTTCCCTTCTGTATTTCAATATCTGCCGTTACTTCTCCGTTTATAATTACTTTAGCGAACTGTTTATCATAAATGGCTTTTATCATTGTTTCAAAGTCAGTCCCACACTCCCACCTTTGTAATTTCTGGATTATAAATTCCCATGAGATATTGTCGAATGCCTTTTCAGCATCCATAAACATTAAGGCCATATTTTTCTCAGGGTGAGCGTCATAATATTCAATTACATTTTAGATTGTTCTGGTATTATTCTTAATCTGTCTATTAGGGAGGAATCCTGCTTGGTCTTGATGTATAATGTTCGACAGCACTTTTTTTAATCTTGAGACTAATGTGTTGGCAAAAATTTTGTAATCTGCATTTAATAGCGAGATTGGTCTGTAGTTTTTAATATCTTTACTGTCCGTATCGGGCTTATGTATTAAAGTAATAATTGCATGCTGCCAAAAACTTGGCAGTTTCCCCCTTACCCTAATGTGCTCCAGAAGGTCTTTAAAATGCGGACCAATTTGGTCCTCAAATATTTGATATATTTCAACTGGTACTCCATCTACTCCTGTTTTTTTCCCCTTTTTTGTCTTTTAATCGCTTTTACTATTTCATGCATTGCTATTTTCCCACTTAAAATATTTTTATATTTTTCTTCAAGTTTATTTTCTTCCTTTTCTTGGATGTATTTTTTAATTTGCTCTTTATTTTGAGTTTCTTGTTTGTATAGGTTTTTATAAAAAATTTCTATGATTGACTTCATTCCTTGGAGATCATACTGGATCTCTCCTTTATCATTATTCAATGCTACAATATTCCTTTTTTCTCTTTCTTTTCTTAATCTGTACGCCAACCACCTTGTGGGTTTATTTGCATTGTCAAAATAATATGCTTTAGTGTATTCTATAGATTTCGCTATTTCCTGTGTTAATATTAAATTTAGCCTATGATTTAATATCTTTAATTTGTCTCTTGTGGATTTATTTTCTTTTAATTTAAGCGCGTTCCCCTCCTTTTTAATTGCTAAATTTATTTTTACGTATTGCTCTCTCTTTTTCTTTTTCTTCCATGCATCTTGGTTTATAAACAGTCCTCTTATATAGGCCTTAAATGTATCCCATATAATATCCATTGCCATTCCTTCTTTCCTGTTTCTTTGAAAGAATTCTTGTATTTCTGCTTTCATTTTTGTTGTAAAGACCTGATCCCGCAAAAGCCCCAAATTAAGTCTCCATCTTGAGTTCTTATGTCTATCTTTTAGCAGAAGCTGTATCGGGTTATGATCAGCAAAAGTTTGTGGTAGAATTTCCACTTCTGTAACCTCCTGCAACCATTCAGTGGGTGCCCATATCATATCTATTTTCGACCAGCATTTATGTCTGGCCGAGTAATATGAAAAATCCCAGTAAATACTGAAGTGTTTTTTCTTTTTTTATATATAAAAATAAAAAACACTTCAGTATTTACTGGTTTAATGATGTTTGTTAAGTCACATGTTTGTTTGTAACCAATCTATTTTAGATAATAGGAAGCCTGGGAACTTCGGAACTATTTTGTTACTCTGATTGGAAACTAAGGTGCCAAGTATTAGCATTTTATGGCTCTTCTTCCCTTTGTTCTGACCAAGAAGACGCCGCCATTCTGCCATTTCAGTCTAGCTGTAAGGATGTAACCATATAGCTCTTTGTTATTTTATATCCTGTGTACCTTTTCCCATGTTAGGTTATAGTAAACTTTAATTCTTTTTAAATACACACCAAGGACTCAGTCTCTTTAATACTCTGCTGTATTACTTAAATCAAGAATATATCCCATCACAATATCAAATAAATATGGTTTTTTTTCTTTTTAATTAAAGAACTGTGAGAGGTCACGTCTAGGACAGTGCGGTCCCACCTAAGTTGTGAGTGACCCTTGCTTTTTATGACACTGACAATAGCCAAACGTCAAAAGTCATAGTACTTGGAGAAAGCAAATACAACCAAAATCCACATGCAACCATTCAGGCCTGTTGTGTTTGAGCAGATGGGGGTGGGGGGAGGGCTCTGTCTTTCTGACTTCTGTCTGGCCCGTCCCTTGGAGATGCACCAGCTGGCAGCTCCACTCTGCGTTGGGATGGCGCCCATTCTTGAAAGGAGTTTCTGGGATCTCTAAAATATGAACATGCAGTTTTATAGAAAGGAGAACTTCTGAGGCGAGACGGCTTCTGCCAGCAACATCTGCCCTGACAATTCCCTCTGGGGAGAATCCATATCACATCCCTTTCTAATATTTACAACAGCAATCAAAATACAGACAGACAGCCAACTAACATAAACACAACCCCCCTTCCAGTAATCAACGTAGGAAATTCTCATACCTAAAGTATGAATTTGCAGTTTTCTAGAGAGGAGAACTTCTGAGCCGAGAGGTCTTCTGCCTGCAGCTTCTGCTCCCCCCCCCCCATCCCTCCGGAAGAATTGTGCTCCCCCACTCTAAGGAATATCTCAATTCTTTAGGTTCTCCCCTAATACCCCCAACTCTTTAGCTCAACTCTCTTTAGCAAATGTTTTCTGAGACTGAAATGACAGCTCCCAGAGTACAGTGATAACCCCTGGGAGTAGAGGAAGTGTTTTGGGACTGTGGGTTGAAGATGAGTTCTGGGACTGGAATGGCAGGCCCCTGAATGGAATGACAGACCCTGGGAACAGAACAGAGATGCACTTTGCATACAGCCACTGTGTGCACTATACCAGCGACTCAAACCAGATCAGCACCATGGCATAATGTGACAGAGAACACTATGAAACACCACAAAAGTAAACACTGGGAAAAGGGGATTTTAAAAACAAAGAAACAAAAGAGGGGGAGAAAACACACATATTTATATGAAGAGGCAGCCCAAGTGGAGGGAGGGGGGGAGAAGGGGAATAAAAAGAGAGTAGAAGCCCAGGTGGGAGGGACACTCACACACTCAGACAAAACTGAAGTACAACTGAAGGGGGGGGTTTAAAAACGGGACAAGAGAGAGAATAAAAACAGCACAACAGATGAGTGGGGAGGACGGAAAGGGTATTCCAAAGAAAGCAAAGGCAGTTTACCTTCGGACTACTCAGCCACAGGCTCACTGAACCCTGCCCTCTCTCAGGCACCCACCCCACTCATGCCCTTACAAAGCTAACCAACTTGGTCCCAGCCTGCAGCAGCAAGAGCAGCAGCGAAGGGGAATCAGCGGAAAGCAGCAGCCAGACGCAAGAAGTGGAAGAGGTGCTGTGGAGGCCGTCCGGGATGTGGGAGGGACCGCAGCCCCTGAGCTTCGGCGCTCCCTTCAGCAGGGCAAGTCCGCCGGGCCAAGTTCCCCTCCCAGTCCGTGCTGATTTTACTGGTAGCTGGGTGAGGGGGGCAGAGAGGTGGGCTGAACGAATGTGCCTCGAGGACTCAGCAGTAAGGGAGAGCCCGGGCAAGCATGCCTCCTACCTTTGTGCACGTGCGCAGGAAACCAGGAAAGCCAGACTCCACGTGCAGCCTGGCAGAACTAAGGGCTGCTGGGGGTGGGGCTTCACTTCCAGGAGGAAGCAAGCCCCCGCCCTAACTTCCCTCCCTCCCTCCCAGTCCCAACCCAGCTGTTGAGCATAGTTTCAGAATGGAGCAAGGGTGCCTGGGGGGCAGAGCCCCTTCCTGAAAATTTCGGGGAGGGCTGAGGCCCCGTCTCCCCCATGAAGATTACGCCTGTGCGTGTGTCTGTCCCTGCAGCCGCCCACTTCCTGTTCCAGTCGAAGGTCGACTGCCGCTTTGCCGACGGGACTCGTGGGGAGGTCCGCTTGCTAGTGAGGTACATCTACGGGCGGGAGGAGTTTGTGCGCTTCGACAGCCGCCGCGGGGAGTACGAGGCCCTCACCCCGCTGGGCGAGCCCGACGCCCGCCTCTGGAACAGCCAGAAGGAGAGCCTGGACTATGTGCGGGACTCGGTGGAGCGCTACTGCTGCGGCAGTTACAAGGTCGAAGAGGGAGGAGGCATCACCCTGACCAGGAAAGGTGAGCGTGGGCACCACCCCCAATATGCAGTGCAGCGGCTTTTTTTTGGTACCTGGAGATTATAATTGAAGTTTACTGTATGTGAAAACGTCTTACCTAAGTATGAGTTTGTACATATTAATATCTCATGCTGTGTCAATGGTTTTCAACATTAATAAAGATGTATGAGATGGATAGCACTTCTACTGCAAGGTTTGCCCATCCACTTACATTGAAGGCTTTGTGTCCAACAAACTTAGAAAGGCAGACTGTAAAGCTTGCATTGCAGGTTCTCAACTCACCCCTGACAGAAGGTTTACAAGTCGCCAGTGATTAGTAGGTTAGATAGAGGTGGTTTGAAATATCCAACACAAGGTGTTATCAACGTGGTTTCCTATACATATGTGGTAGTAAGCTGTGTAGCTGGGGGTTTTTTTGGTCACTGGAGATTAAGATTGAAGTTTACTGTATGTGAAAACTTCTTAAATAAGTATGAGTTTGTGCATATTTCTATCTCATGCTCTGTCAATGGTAAATAAAAAGTAATACTGAAAACCAGAAGTTATTTGACAATACCATCATACAACAGACATCCCCTATTATATGCTTGTAAATTATATGAAACATACACTCAAATATGCAAGGGAAACTGAACTCAGTAACACTGTAAGCTAGTGTGAAGTGTCTGGAATACTGCAGTGAAAGAATCAAGAGAATATCTTGTTGGGTACACGAGAAACTGCAAGTTAAAACACTTGTGAAAGTAGCTGGCAACTGCAGAGCTCAGGGAATGTTATGCCTACATTTGATGACGTCACGACGTGGTGCTCAGGCCTTCCATATATAGGGGGCAGTGGCGCGGGGTGTGTGTGCATGTGTGTGTGTGAAGGGGAGCCAGGGGGGTCTTTTCCCATCCACAGCGGCGACGCAAGGGGGGGCAGAGGTAAAAGCCGGACCCTTGTAGGACCCCAACCCCCCCTTCTGAAACAAAACGCGGCTCAGGGAGGGATGAAAGGAAGCGCGGCTTTAGGGGGGGTGATTTCCAAGGGGCGGGGGCTTGGCTGCCTGAGAAGGGAGTGAATTTGGACGGGGAGCAGGTGACAACCCCCCCACTCCCGGCAATCTTCCCTCCCTCCGAGGTGGGTTCCCCCCTCCAACATTTTGTTCCCTTCCTCACTGAGCCGCCCCCAAGTAACGTGGTCTTCTGCTTTGCCTGTTCAAAGACCGCCTGTCCCGCCCTTTGTCCCGGAGACACAACTTGGCATCTACCCCCCAGCCCTGGAACCAGTGCTCCCTCTAAGCTGAGTTCGTGTGAGCCAGCTCACAGTTCTTTAGCCTCAGGCTCACACATTTTTGTCTCCGCTCAGGAAGGATGGGGCTCCAGAGCAAACTAATTTAGGCAGCAGTAGCTAAATCGCCCACTCACAGCTTGAATGCCAGCGGCTCACAAAGCAGGATTTTTGTTCACAGAACTCCACAGTTTAGTGGGAGCATTGCCTGGAACCCCACTGAAGAATGAGGCGCCCTCTTGGGCTGGACCCCTTCCAAGGGCCCTGGAGTGGATGCCAAAGTCAAACTGAACTAAAGATTTAATTTAAACAAAGTCAGGGGGAATGAGGAGTTGTTAACTTCGAGGCAAAAATCCGGGGTTGTACAGATGGTGATTCTTTATACAGGCAAATGAGAGTTAATGAAGATTATTTCCTTAGTTATTGAATTCCTAGTACCAAGAGGGTTTCCCCCCCTGTGTTTTCCAAACACTACAATGCTTCTCAATGGAGTTCCCTGTTTCTCCTCCTATTTCCTTGAGGCTGGTACCCTTCCTTCGATACCTAACTCTCTTCCTTTTAATCCCTATTTTCTCTCTAGCTCTTGAGGTGTCCCCCAAGCAGTTTCCCTTCACAAGGGGTCAGGAGACAAGATGATCTTGACAGGATGGGAAACTGGGCGAAAACAAAGAAAGTGACTTTCAAGCAGGCCCATGGCTACAGTGGGGCGTTTTGGGGGCTGGCCCTCTGACTTCCTGCCATGGCCCCATAACTTCCAGCCTAGACCCCCAGCTCTCTGGCAAGATGTAGTGGCTGCCGCAAACTCCCCCTGCACTGCTGGGGCTGCCGGTCCTCCTTGCCTTCCCCGTTTCTCTGTGCCAGTCCTCACCTCCACCTCCATGACTTGGCCTGACTCCATCCTGGCATGGGGGCTTGGAGCTGCAGAGAGAGAGAGAGAGAAAGAGAGAGAAGCCAGGCCAGTGTTCTTTTTATGTGCCCTGGCCCGTGGTCCAGGAAGTGGCGGTCAGACTGAGTCCCCTCCCAGTCTGGTTCCCATGGCCACCAGCCAACTCCTCCCTTCCCAAGCTGGGGGAAACCAGTGCTTTCTCTCCCCACCCTCATCCTGGCAGCAACCTCTGGAGCAGCTGGGGTGGGTGGAGTGGAGTACCAGGGAGGAGGAAGAGGAGGAGGAGGAGGAGAAGAAGAGATTGGGTTTATACCCCGCCCTTCACTACCCAAAGGAGTATCAGAGAGGCTTACAAACTCCTTTCCCTCCCCCTCCCCACCACAGACACCCTGTGAGGTAGAGGAAGAAGAAGAAGAAGAAGAAGAAGAGATTGGATTTATACCCCGCCCTTCACTACCCAGAGGAGTCTCAGAGGGGCTTACAAACTCCTATCCCTCCCCCTCCCCACCACAGACATTCTGTGAGGTAGGTGGGGCTGAGAGAGCTCTCTCGAGAGCTGCCCTTTCGAGGACAGCTCTGACAGAACTATGGCTTGTCCAAGGTCATCCAGCCAGGTGCAAGTGGAGGAGTGCGGAATCAAACCTGGTTCTCCCAGATCAGAGTCCGTGCACTTAACCATGACACCAAACTGGCACAAGATGCCCAAGCTCAAGGCAGGCCGAGCCGACAGCCAGGCAGAGAGCACAACCCCACACCAGAAAGCACCAAGAAGCCAGTAATTAAATTGTTTTAAATCAAATTAGCCAGTACTCCAGTGCCCCCAAGGAATTGAAATGCCCCCCGACTTAGAAATTCATGGCTACGGGCCTGCTTTCAGTGGAGAGAAATGTAAACTCTTGGCAGTAGCATGTGCAAAATGGATCTAGGGGTGTACAGGCCTTTCCCACCTTCACTAAGGTTTCCCAAAACAAAATTCAAAAGTGAGAAGGGAATGGTCCTCTCGGTGACTCTCAGTAAGAGGGTACCCAAAACAAAAATACAAAACCCCCCCACAACCTCAAGGGTAGACTGTCACCAGGTCCCCTTCAGGCAGTTCCCAACCGCCAGGAGACAAAGGGACCTAAGTCTCCCGTCCAGTTGCACTGGAACTCTCAAAGCAAAACAGCACTGCAGTAACCTCCCACATCCAGGTGGTACCAAGTTAATTGGCTGGAATGCCTTAATGGTCAACACCAGAACATGCTTATCACTTACAGCTGAAAGCAATACTGCAAGGTGTTGGGTATTACAAGTTGATAACACTCAGTATATCTGGGGTTAAATGTTTGTGTTGCTCACAGGAAGTCACATGTTTCATGTAACCAATGTTTGTTTTAGGAATAGAAGCCCGGGAAATTTCTCCCTGATCTAGGAGTTTGATTGGAACTACAGTGTCAAAGTGTTTTAGCATTTTATGGCTCCTCTTCCCGTCTTTGTTTGGAGTTCTCAAGAAGAAGTAGTGACTTCCGGTCGATGGGTGCACAACTGCGGACTCTCCTCCCGAACCTCCCGGGGGGGTATCCGCGCTCTGGCCGAAGAAGGGGGTGAGCAGGCTCATGAACCCCACCCCGGGGGGCCGGGGAAGGGGCCCTGGCAGGGAGCTTTAGAGGGGTAGCCTCTTTGATGGCGGAATGCCAGAGAATCGAGGCTCCCCTCCGCTCCAGTGGTTCTTCATGCTGAGAGGCTGAAAAACCACTAGTGAAGCTAACCGGGTCAAGTGTAGGAGATCAAGCATTTAAAACGATGAAAGAAGAGTGGTCGGATGACCAACTATGAACGTGAGTCAACTGAGAAATGAATTTTAAAAGAAAAGACGCTCCCCACCAATGTTCCCTCTAAGCTGTGGAGTCTTGTGAGCAAAAATACTACTTTGTGAGTTACTGGCATTAAAGTTGTGAGCAAGCGATTTGGCCACTGCATAAATTAGTTTGCTCTGGAGCCATCCTCCCTGAGCTAAGACAAATATGTGTGAGCCAGAGGCTAAAAAACTGTGAGCCAGCTCACACTAACTCAGCTTAGAGGGAACACTGCTCCCCACCCCACCTTGCGAAACGAGAAAAGCGAGCAGGGGGGACGCCTCCCATGCACATGAACTTTTAAACGAAAAGGTGGGGGAGTGAGCAGAGACACGGAAAAAACTGTTTAGATATACTCACCAAGGTAGTGAAGCGGTCGAGCGCATTTCAGAGACTTTTTAAAAACGTTTGCGGAGAGTAAACAAACGGCAAAGATGGCGGGCAAGAGGGACAAAGACAAACTGATTCCGAAAGTAAAAGGACTGGAGAATCCTAAACCGGAAGTGATGAACGAGCTGGCAAGGACTGTAGCGGAGTGTATGCGCCCTCTGCTGGAACAGTTGAACAACTTCAAAGAACAAATGTCGGAGGTAACCAAAAACCTGACAGTGCAGCAAACCGAGATAAGCACAGCAGACCCAGATGAATGACATGATACAGATAATGAAGCAAGACAATGAGAAAATTAAGGAGGTGGCTGCAACAACTGAAAAAGTGAAGAAGAAAGTCCAAAAGCTGGAATTAAAGCAAACTTCAATGGAAGATAAATGGCTGCAAGTACAAATGGATAAGGCTAATATGGTCCTTCGTTTCCAGGGTGTGCCGGAAAACGTGTGCCCCAGTGACAGAAATGATGGCCCCACTGGTGGACCTCCTGATGGCACTGGTATTTCTGGCCACTGTGTGACACAGAGTGTTGGACTGGATGGGCCTTTGGCCTGATCCAACATTGGCGTCTCTTATGTTCTTATGTTCTTAACTGTTACTAAACAAAATGGGTGTGGTCTATCG